TTGTCTGTGAAGTAATCCTGTATGTGGTGGTTGATTTGGTCTACGACCGAGACGTCTGAAAGAATCGATTCGTTCAGTCGCCAAGACATTTGTCTGGGTTTGTATAGTGGCGACTTTGTCCGTATGCGGATTGGGCTGTGGTCTGACCAAGTCATTGGCAGGATTTCTGCCGCGGTGAGCAGGGCTAGGTTGCGGTGAGGTACTAGGAAATAATCGAGTCTCGTATATGTTGAGTGTGTCGTGGAATAAAAAGTATAATCTCGGGTAGATGGGTTCAGTGCTCGCCAGCAGTCTGCCAGCTGGTGGAGGTGGAGGAGGCGGAGTGTGTTGGCATGCCTGTTGATCGATATGTGTCCGCGTGTCGAGGTGGAGCCTTGGTCCGGGTGTATCGCCAGGATGAGGTCTCCCCCTATGATCAGGGCGCCTTCCGTGAATTTCATCAGCGTGGTTAGTGTTCTTCGGAGGAAGTGGTGTTGTTTCGTATTCGGGGCGTATATGTTGGCGAACGTGTATGTTTGGTCCATTATTTTGCCTTTTGTAAAAATATATCTGCCATGCTTGCATCGAACGGTGGCTTGCTCCTCGTAAGGGACTCGTTGTGAGAAGAGGATGCAGACTCCCAGTGTGCGTCTATCTTGGTTGTGGCTGAAGTATCCCGTTGGGTAGTTGCGGTCTTTTAGAGCTGGTGCTCTGCCCTCCTGGAAGTGCGTTTCTTGGATGAACGCTAGTGTTTCAGGTCCCTTAGCAATCTTGTTCGTTTCTCCCTAACATTTAGGCCTCGTACATTGTAGGAAACTACGCATAGGTCCTCTCTTGGGAAGCCGTTGGGTTCTTGTGCCGGCATCCTCGCAGCAGCCCGGAGGGGCAACGGGGGCGGGGGTGTGTGTAGGTGTGCGGTTCAGTGCTGTCTTATTATCGTTTGGGCTCCGGCTACAGCTTAGTGGGCACTTGCTGTTGGTTGTTTTGAGGGTGTGTAGGGTAATGGACCGGTGTCCCGGTTGTTCGGCCTATAGGTCCCACCAAGTGGTGTGCCTGTGTCGGTGCCGGGTGTAGTATGTCCCCTTTGGTGTGGGGGTTTTCGTGTCCTATGCCTATTGGGGTGTCGGGCTTTATGTCCCGGTGTGTCCGGTCCGCCTTGTGACGTCCGTCCGTGCTGTGTAGGTGAGAGATGTGATACCTGGTTCGGTATGTAGGGTGTGGTCGCATGTCTCCTTAGTGGCTATGATATTGGAGCATCCGCTCCCTCTCTTCGGTATTATGCTTGTATGGGTCATCTTTTATGTAGCATGCGTGCTACTGTCTGCCGCGGTGGTGTTTCCCAGCTTGTGTGTGTTTTTGTCTCATAAGTGATCTCGCTTCGTGTGTTCCTATCTAGGCTCGTGTTCGGTGCAATTCCGGGTCTTGTGGGGCCGGGGCCTCCCTATTATCTGGGCCTGTGAGTGGTGTCATTCTAGTGGGGTAACTTGATTGGTGGCGCTACCTTCCTGCCTGTGTCACACCGATTATATGGGCTTGTTGTTTTGTTGTGGGTCCGGCGTGTCTGGGTTTCACTCCCTGTATTCTTCTATTTCCCATGGTTCCAGCGTGACTAGTTGTTCTATTTCCTACTGCATCTCTGGCTTCTGTTTGGTGTCTATGTCACCTGTTGTGTCTGGGGACTGCCTGACGACAACGTGTGTGTGGTGCGTGTCGTATGTGGTATGTTGTCCGTGTGTGGTGGGTGGGGTTTCCTTGGGGCGATCTCGTGTTGGGTTCCTGTTGGTCCATCTTGGGTGCTTTCAACTTAGGCCCCTCTGCCAATTGTTCCTTTGGTGTCTATGCTTAGCGTGTACCTGTGGTTTGCTTGTGTAATAATTCTGTCGGATATTGTGCCTATGGATCTTGCCGATGGATTACTATCGTGGGCCCACTGCTGTCTTCCCCTGGCTCTCAGTATCCTCATTGGCCCACTCGTCTCTTTCTCGTTTGTTCCCCCCCCTGTTTCCTTGCTTGTGTTCTGTGCCTCCCTCTTTCCCTCCCCTCCCCCAGCGTATATACATGAGTTGCGGTACCGTGTTTGGGTTTTTTTTTTCTCCCCCCCCTCCCTTCTCTCGGGGGGTTTGTGTGTGCGTGTGTTCCCCCTTCCCTTCCCTACCTCCTCCCCTTCTTCCCCCCTTTCAGTTGACATTTCCCCTTCTGACCTTCCCTCCACCCGTTCGTTGTGTTGTGTCTTTGTTGGCGTCCTCCGGCCAGTATTGTGTCCCATGTCGTGACACAGCCAAGTTGCGCTGTCCGTGCACCCGT